GTGAGTCTGTCTGTCTGTCAGTCAGTTGGTCGGTCTATAGGTAAAGATAGAGGTAAAGATAGAGGTATATTCCCCCCCCCCCCACACACACACACACACACACACACACACACAGTTTGGGAAGGAAAAGGCTGGCGGGCTGGGTTGCCAGATTGGGGGGAAAGGCTGGCCGGCTGGCTGGGTTGCCAGATTGGGTGTAAAAGGCTGGCGGGCTGGGTTGCTAGATTTGGTGGGAAAGGCTGGCTGGCTGGGTTGCCAGATTTGGTGGGAAAGGCTGGCTGGCTGGCTGGGCTTCCAGATTGGGAATGGAGAGGCTGGCTGGCTGGGTTGCCAGATTGTGAATGGAGAGGCTGGCTGGCTGGCTGGCTGGGTTGCCAGATTGGGAATGGAGAGGCTTGCTGGCTGTCTAGAAGGGAGGTTGGCTGGCTGGCTGGCTGGCTGGGAGAGTGGGTTGCCAGATTGGGCATGGAGAGGCTGGCTAGCTGGTTTACTAGCTGACGGGTTTGTTAACAGATTGTGTAGGAACAGGGTGTTTGGCTGACTGCTGGGTTGCCAGATTGCGAGGGGCAGGCTGGCTAGCTGGCTGGGTTGCCAGGTTGGTGAGGTTCTAACACACACACACAGTGGCTCAGAGGGCCAAATGGACTGGAAACAGCTGCCTGAGAATGGAATGCAACAGTAGCACTGCATTCTGTCCATCTACATTCTAGAATAGTGCCGGTCTGTCGGTCCATGCATCGATTGGTGTCGGTTTCTGAAAGGCTCTGAGTGATTCAATTGAGTTTGATGTACTGTGTGTCTAATCTGCCTGAGCCAATTCCTCCCTCCTTTCTCTTTGTAACCACACTGGTAGTCTGTCCCAAATGGCACCCTATTCCCTATATTGTGCACTACATTTGACCAGAGCCCTATAAGCCCTGGTCAAAATAAGTGCACTATATAGGGAATAGGGTGCCATTTGGGACGCACCCTTTCCCGACTCCTCAGCCAATTCCCCTCTCTGTAATGGCACAGGGCCTAATGAATGATAGGTGGTGGGTCTGTATGTATTATAAGTAAAGATACTACAGTGATTAAGGCCACTGTTCTGTTCTCCTCTCTTCATCTCCTCCTCTCATCCTCCTCCTCTCTCTATCTTTATGTTCGTATTCTTATCTTTTATTATTTCTTATTGTTGTTGCATTGTCAAGAAGGAACCTGCAAGTAAGCATTTAGTTGGACGGTGTATACCATGTGTATCCTGTACATAAGACTAATAAAACTTGAATCTTGAAACTCTCAAACCTGCTGCCTCCTCAATACACACAGCGTTTATGTAACTCTCCTCCTCCTCCTCCTCTCTCCCCTCCTCCTCTTCCTCTTCCTCTCCTCCTCCTCTTCCTCCTCCTCCTCCTTCTCTTCATCCTCCTCTCCTCTCCTCTCCTCTCCTCTCTCTCCCTCTCCTCTCCCTCCTCCTCTCCTCTCCCTCCTCTCCTCTCCTCTCCTCTCCTCTCCTCTCCTCTCCTCTCCTCTCCTCTCATCCTCCTCCTCTTCCTCTTCCTCTTCCTCTTCCTCTTCCTCCTCCTCCTCCTCCTCCTCAATAAACACAGCACTAATGGAATTGAGTCCTAGAAACTGTGTGTGTATGCACGTGGGTGTGTTCATGTGCGTGTGCGTGTGTGCGTGTGACTATTTCTCTTTACATCAGAGTTTGGTTGTTAACAACAGTCCATGAGAACACATGCAGTGACACTAATCAAATATAATTACAGAAATGGAACGGGGCGAAGCTCTGGACTTTATAATTAAAGAATATCCTGAAAAGCCAAGATATGCCAGGGCAAGTTTAGGGACACAACATTAAGTCCCAGAATCCATCACAAATGGCACCCTATTCCCTATATAGTGCACTATAGGGACTATAGGGCTCTGGTCTAAAGTAGTGCACTATATAGGGAATAGGGTGCCATTTGGGACGCACACCAAGTTTAGAGAGAATTGTGGTTGTTATTAATCTGTTATTGTTATTAATCTTATGAATCGTGAAAAATGGCATATGTAAATGTATTTAATCAAATGAGGATGCTTGGTTAACGAGCTGTGTATTTCTCCATTAGTGACTTTAATTAGTGACTTTAATCACATCATTCTTTCTTTGTTTTTTAAAGCAGAACATTGTTAGTTTCTCTCTCTCTTCTCTCTCTCTCTTGTCTCTCTCTCTTTCGTCTCTCCAAGTCATGTTTACATGTATCTCTTTCTGGGAGTGTAATTGGATGATTCCCTTAGTGGGAATAGAATGATTCTTAGTGTAATAGAACGATTCTTAGCTCCCAGCTCTGTTCTCATGAGTCAGTGGAATGTGGTCAGTATGACATCACTTCATTGTGGTCGGTATGACATCACCTCACTCTTCCCCTACTCTCCTCCTCTTCCTCCTCCTCTTCCTCCTCCTCTTCCTCCTCTTCCTCCTCTTCCTCCTCTCTTTTTCTCTGTCCCACAATCTCTCTCTTTCATTTCAAATTCAATTTCATTTAAGGGCTTTATTGGCATTGGAACATATGTTAACATTGCCAAAGCAAGTGACTGTAGATAGTAACAAAAGTGAAATAACATAAATATTAACAGTAACCATTACACTCAGAATTCCAAAGAATAACACATTTCAAATGTCATATTATGATATATAACAGTGTTGTAACAATTGCAAATAGTTAAAGTACAAATGGGAAAATAAATAAACATAAATATGGGTTGTATTTACAATGGTGTTTGTTCTTCACTGGTTGCCCTTTTCTTGTGGCAACAGGTCACAAATCTTGCTGCTGTGATGGCACACTGTGGTTTTTCACCCAGTAGATAAGGGAGTTTATCAAAATTGGATTTGTTTTCGAATTCTTTGTGGATCTCTGTAATCTGAGGGAAATATGTGTCTCTAATATGGTCATACATTTGGCAGGAGGTTAGGAAGTGCAGCTCAGTTTCCACCTCATTTTGTGGGCAGTGTGTACATAGCCTGTCTTCTCTTGAGAGCCAGGTCTGCCTACGGCGGCCTTTCTCAATAGCAAGGCTATGCTCACTGAGTCTGTACATAGTTAAAGCTTTCCTTAAGTTTGGGTCAGTCACAGTGGTCAGGTATTCTGCCACTGTGTACTCTCTGTTTAGGGCCAAATAGCATTCTAGTTTGCTCTGTTCTTTTGTTAATTCTTTCCAATGTGTCAAGAAAATTCTCTTTTTGTTTTCTCATGATTTGGTTAGGTCTAATTGTGTTGTTGTTGTTGTCCTTCTCTCTCCTCTCTCTCATTTATTCTATCTGTTGTTTACACCCATCTCTCATCTGTTTCAGATTGAAGCAGCACCAGAGATGTGTTGAGCCGGCCAGTCTGTGACTTCTGCCCGGCAGTGGATGGAGGACCAGAGAGAAGAAGCAGCCAGAGAGAGACAGACTGGAATAGTGACGTCAACGTGTGCCGTTTGTGACGTCACAGTGCGCATTTTGTGATATCACAGTGCAGAGAAGGAGATGGGACTGGTTAGACTAAAACAGAAAAAGAAAGAAAGAAAGAAAGAAATAGTTATGTTACAGCGATGATGTCACATGCACAAACTTCTGTTCTGCAAAGAGAGTTCAATGATGTCAGAGTCACCCAGAGAAATTGACAAGAACGCTTATCAATTTTGTCATCTGACACACACACACACACACACACACACACACACACACACACACACACACACACACACACACACACACACACACACACACACACACACACACACACACACACACACAAACAAACACAAACACAAACACATACACACACACAAAGGTGCCAGACAGCTCTGTGGAAGCCAAGGAACCATTACTATGGTAATCCTGCCCGTGTCAAAATAGAAGACATTTTCAAATCATAAAAACCATCATTCAGAAATGGGGGTATTTTCGGAAAGTGCTTCAGCGTTGACTTGATTCATGTCATTAAATCCCTTTGAAACATATTTCTGTGTATCTGTCCTCACTTTTGTCATGATTAGAGGCCTGTTGGATCCTCACCAGACACATAGGCATCCATCCATGTGTGTGAGAGAGAGAGCGAGAGAGAGAGAGAGAGAGAGAACGCGAAAGAGAGAGAGGTGGAAAGAGAGAGAGGTGGAGAGAGAGAGAGACACAGAGAGAGACAGAGAGAGAGGGGAGAGAGAGAGAGACACAGAGAGAGAAAGAGAGAGAGGGGGAGAGAACTGCAAACGGTGAACTGCCCTGTGAACTGCAAACGGTTATTTTACACACAATTTAGCCCATAGGTCCATCAGCAGTGGTACGTGAACCTTTTAGCTGTCGACTTCAGTAGACCTGAATGGACATTTGCTGTTGCACACACACACACACACACACACACACACACACACACACACACACACACACACACACATCAAAGTGTGTCCTGATCTTGTCCACATGATTGTGCCCACGTGTTTTTACATGGTGTTAAAATGGGTCTTTTATCTGTCCACTGGTCCTTGCCTGGATTGAAATTATTTGACAGATATTCTTTCAAAATAATATTTATTTATTTACCTTCAAACGCAAATTGATGCCCAAAGTCAATGGCGCCAGCTGTAAATAATTTTTTTGGGGGCGGGATTTTTGAGGACAATTTAAATGGTTTCACTGTCCACGTCCGTCTACACTTGAAAGATATCCAGAAAGATGCGTGCCTTACTACCTCTGGAGGTGGGCTGGAAGATCTGATCAAGTTCAGATCACAATGCATCTTTTAATCGTCTACACCTCTCTTAAAATGTGGACAAAATCAGAATGTGGATCAGATAAGGACAAAGGACGCATGTTAGATCAAGGTATAAACAGGGCTAGAGTGACATTAATAGCTAGAGGTGGAGATCAATTCACTCTGAGCTGCCTCCCTCTCTTTGTCCGTGGAGAGAAAAAGAGAGAGAGAGAGATTTCTATTTTATTGAACTGCATTGTTGGTTAAGGGCTCGTAAGTAAGCATTTCACGGTAAGG